GCATGTTTTGCAATACACCGACGCCATTTTGATTCAGGAAATGTCTTGGATACTTGGTGTAATATACGACATATATAGCAGATTCAGCAGTTTTATACCGGTGAGTTTACATGAAGTTTCCAGAATTTTTGCTGTGCAAGCAGGTTTCAACAAGGAAGCTTTGAGTGGAGTTTTACGAGGTTTTTCGCAAATTTTCATAGTTTTTCAAAACGAAATTAGTCAGAGAAGACTTAGACAACATTTAATCGGAAAAACATCCGCCAATTTTGCTCACAGCATCAAAATCATCCACGAGCGTTTTGTTTCTAGTCAATTTATATAAAATATTACAACAATTCTTTTCCAGCATACCCTTTGTTTTGTGATTTGCAACGTACAACTACTGTAAATGTTAAAATATTGAACACGCATACCAAGGTTGATATCAGCCATACGTTTTAATACCATTGTGGGAGAATTACGAGCGCCTTATAATTTTAAAACACAAATAAAATGTTGAACTCAACCCTTTCAATCGGACAGCTAATACCACAACTCATCATCGACGTCATCTCCGAAATCCAGATTAGATCCTGATCCTTCATATTCATCATTGTCATCAGATTGAGCCAGGCCATAACTGCTATCATCGTCGTTACCATCTTCAACTACTTCATTCTGGCAATCACCACACGAACATAGATCGGTGCACTTTAAGTCAGCCTTTTTGCAGGAACAACGCATGGTCAAGCATCCAGTCTTGCACTTGCACTCAACACACTCAATTAAAGATCGCGGAGCGGGTGGGCGTGTCATCCAAGTTAACTCCAGCTCTTTATCGTCAAGCGTCCAGCCATTGCCAACCAGTGATGGAAGATCGACTTCTGCACTTAAACACTGATACCATGATGCTGCTTGATTGCTAATGCCATTACCAGTAAAAGCATGAAAGCCTGGTAAACAAAGAGCAACATCCACGCCCAAGAAATTCGAGATAATTGCTACAAATACGCAACGACGTCTATCTCCCGTGCCAGTCTCAAGAAAATCTCTTTCTGCATCTGTTCTTGCATGGCAATCGCAGGTATAAGAACATCTGTATCAGGGCTTTTGATAATAACTTTATCGTACGTTGCTGCTGCGTGGTTGGCATGTAGAATTAAACGAGTGTCTGCTTCTTCGTGGTGCTATGAAGCGAAGCCACCTCATTACTTGTAACACTATCGTTCGGGGAATCACCGGGATATAAAACATAGCATCTTTCTTTATCAGTTACGTACATAGTTGAAATGGAAAACCACCGGGAGAAGTTACATGACCTCCAGTGTTCACATAAGAAAGATATGAGGGATTTCTTGTTTTCACCGCAATTTAAACACTTTTCCACTGTTTTGGACTCCTTTTTCACTTCTCAGCTCTTCGTTGTCTCTCTGCATTCTTTATGCTCAACGAAGGATACGTGTCTGCAACAATCTAATCGTTTGGAATTATACTTTCGTGCTAGCGTGATGAGGTTTTTAAAAGAGCATCATCGCCAAATGTTTTCCATTTTCCTTTCATCGACTGAACAACTGCCATATAGCATCTACAATCAGTGCATTGTTGTTAAATGCACAAACATTGACTTCTGGATTTCCAGATTCATTTTCCAATACTTCGGCAAGTTTAGACTTGGGCCAACTTGGCAGTTTTCACAAGTCCTCTCACGTTTTCATAAGGAAAATGTTTGAAATTTGTTCTGTTTCAACTTCGTAAAGATGTCTGGGTCTTCGCTCAACAAATTCGTTTTTAGCGGATTGATGATAATAAGATAAAGGCGTTGGTAATTAACTTTGTCAAAAAACTGAGATGTTGTAAATAGTTTTGTTGAGAAAACGTGTGTATTGTAAAAGTAGTTAATATAAAACAAAGGGTATGCTGGAAAAGAATTGTATAGTAATTATTTTATATAAATTGACTAGAAACAAAACGCTCGTGGATGATTTTGATGCTGTGAGCAAAATTGGCGGATGTTTTTCCGATTAAATGTTTTCTAAGTCTTCTCTGACTAATTTCGTTTTGAAAAACTATGAAAATTTGCGAAAAACCTCGTAAAACTCCACTCAAAGCTTCCTTGTTGAAACCTGCTTGCACAGCAAAAATTCTGGAAACTTCATGTAAATACCGGTATAAAACTGCTGAATCTGCTATATATGTCGTATATTACACCAAGTATCCAAGACATTTCCTGAATCAAAATGGCGTCGGTGTATTGCAAAACATGCAAATTCACTGATTTTTCGAAGATGAAATGCTCGAAAACTGCAGGTTTGTGAAGGTGAAAACAAGTGAATTTAGACTTTCTATAATTTATCCTAATTTTCTATCGTGTTTTCAAGTAGTGCCCGAAGGGGGGCAACGAAAATCGTTTTCTAAGCGACTTTTCGTGCCAGAGAATACGGCCTATGGGCTATCTTCTTAATTTCAACAAATGACGTCGAGAAATTTCTCGAGAGATTTCTAATCACAATAATTTAATTTTCACGATGGGTAATCATCGTCAAAGCATTGTACATGATTCTATTCAGTCGTGTTTAGCGCGAGAATATCGCTCGATATGACGAAAGAACCATATTGGTCGTACGTCAGTCAATGACGTCATATGGTGATATCGTGAATTGAGTGGATTTTGTAAGTCTGGGGCGGGTTGTATCAAGCCCGTTTAGCTTAAACGGTGGTTAAGTTCAAAATAGAAAGCAAGCCTATCGTTTCATTCAAGAAGCAAACCAATTTTTTTAACCTTAATACAGCAATACTGTTTACAACTACATATTCAGTGCATAATATTCAAGTTGACTCATTCAAGAGAGATGTAAGGGTGTTATTTCATTTTATTCGCTTTTTATTCGCGGTATATTCGCTTTAATTTATGTAACGGTCAAGCTGAAGGTAAGAATGATATTTTCCTGGTAATGTATAAATATAACCACCTCTGCCTTGTATCCCATAGTAATATGATAACAAAATGAATTGCCTGAATTACATAACACTGAAAACGAAGACAAAAATGATAATTTCCTGGTAAATCTATGAAACTAATAACCACACCTGTTTAGTCTCCCACATGCGATAATTTTCTAACCAATTATAACAAATTATTTGACTGAATTATATAACTGAAAAACTATCATTTCCTGGTTAACCTTTTCAAATACAAAAGCCTTGATTTGCCACTTGTGGTAACTGTTAAAAATCAGCAAGGTTTTAGCGAGTGACACCCTTGTATATTTTGTTTACCTTGGCAAATACAAGCTAGCGCCGTCGGCTAGTCTAGTACCAGTGGGTGTTCATCCACATATATTGTTCAAAGAACTCTTGCCAGCAGACAATTTGATGAAATATAGCAAGAAGCATGCCCGAAAAACAACATCCTTTAAACTTAAAATACGAGTCATATAAAACTAGACAACAATTTGTGGTGATATTTCGAATTTATGTGCATGTACAACATATATTTAGTTTACAAGATGATCAGTATTTTCCTGAGCATGGTTTTTCCTATAAACTTTACAAGCGTCACGAAGTGGATTTCCAAATTTTTACGTTCATTTCATCGAGTATCATTCACGACGTCAAAAGGACGTGACAAGATAAATTTTCAGAAAAGGGTTTGGTCTTAGAAATCCTTAACGTTCCCCCACAAACCATGTTCCTCTACGTAAATCCAGAAATTTTAAAGGAAGACGTTTTGATGTCATGTAAATGACATGGCATTTTACAGATGACATTGATTGCCTTGGACCGCGCGTTTCAGAACATCTGAAGACACTGGGAACCAGGATTTTGTACGACAAAGAACGTGTCAAATCCGTCATAAAATCAACGCTGTAAATCGTCCGAAAATAAAGAGTTTAAAATAGAAATAATTAAAGTTCAAAATAAAATAAATTTATAAGGAAAAGGCGAGTTATTCGCGATAACTAATCCTATCAATGTACCGACGTTACAGATAAACTCACAAACATTTGAAATTGCTTAACCTTTAGACTCTGTCCCTACCAACTGCAATGTCAGTACAAAAATCTGAAACGTTTGAACAAAGATAGCTTGCATTTTTTGCCTTCTTTGAATATTTTCCGATTCCTCAGTCGAGTGTGTGGTCAATATCGGAAGGTAATCTAGAGAGCTTTGAGAGTGTAGGAAAACCCTTATGTCTGTATTGGACTGTAGCCCATGCCGAAACAAAAACCTTTTCTTCTTCAACCTAAAACTTTCATTTTCGGCCGAACCGTATTTGTAGCTTTAAGCAGCTATTTTCTCCAACGATCAATATTTGAATCAACATGTACCACAACAGACTATCCCTCCCCCTCACACACACAATATTCATCCAATACAATAACAGTCGGGATAATTTAATAAATTGTCCCACCCAGGCCACCTCACAAGGCCAAAACGTGTTGATCTGAAAGTCTGCAAGCTTGCACAAAACTCATCTTAATGATATATTAATGAAAGTGTTTCAAAGGTCAACTTTGGATTTCTGTTCAAAGCTTTTGTTTGAGTGTCTTATGTTGAAAGTTTTTCACTTTATGCACAAAAAAGTTTAATCATGTCTTCAAAAACGGAAAATTTAGAAGCAATCTTGCCAAGCATTGGACATTAGCATATGTATCACACATTTCAACCGAATCCTACTCCATCCCATTCGATGTTATCCTACTCTATCCCTTAACAATCATTCCTACTCCTTCTCATACCTATATATCACATTTTATCCTGTCTTAGAATTCAAAAGAATGTCATTGAATTCACCCAGATAAGCTGCATGTTCTCATAATAAAAAATTTAGTTCATTTGCAAGGTGTGTTGGAAGAGAGCTCATTCTCCCTTGAGCTTGTTGGAAGGGGAATTGACATAATGGATTGTAGGATAAGAATATAAAAGCACATTGTCAGTGTTGCATTTGAAGTATTCAACTCCTGGTGAAAACATTTGCATATGAGAAATAATATGAATCAAAATATACATCCTGCAGTAGATTGATTGATTGAGAATTTATTTCCTATGAAAAACATTATCCTAAAATTTCCTGAGCCTGATAAGTTAGTTGAACAAAGTGTCTCAACTGAGCCGTATTTTAAAAAGCTTCACCACAAGTAAATATATTTGGCACTGATACATTGATACATACAGTGTGGTACTCTATTTTGACTTAGCTTGTTTGAAGGTGTCCAAAAGGATCTTGTAGACTTCATCCGGAGACTTTGCTGCATCAATCTTGTGATGGAGACCTCGTTTTCGGTAATAATCAATTAACGGACTCGTTTGTGTGTGGTAAGATTCCAAACGTTTTTTCAATGTTTCAGCATTGTCATCTGACCTCTTCACCAAAGGCTCACCAGTTATCTGAAAACAACAAATAAAGCTTTAAACGTGTTTTTTTTTCTCACGACTTGAAGAAATTCAAAAATGTTTGTCTTACATCATCTTTCATAGCCACTTTAGGAGGGTTAAATTCTTCATGATAAGATCGACCACTTGGCTTATGAAATAATCTAAAATGTAAAAGCATGACAGCTTGAGAGAGTGCACTTCAGCCATCAGGTTCCAATTGAAACTCAACACAATTGTAGATATTCCTAGGGATGGAGGACAAGCCACCTGAGGGCCATTGAGTGGGGTATAAAAACGAACTGTAACAAAATTTAAAATGCATGCTTGTTTAACAAATAAAGAAAATTAGACACAGAGAGTTGTTAGATAGATTATCAGAGCCTCAGATAAGCTTCTGAACTCCCATGTACTAAGTACTAATTTCTGTACATTATTACCCCTCATCCCTCTATTAAACCCCTTCATTCCAAGTAAATCCATTCCCATACCTTCCTGTTATTCGCCTGACAAGTAAAGAATCATCAATAGCAAATTCCACTACTGCATCAAGATTGACTTTACGTTTCTCCAATAACTCATCAAGCTAAAAACAACATAAACAATTGCATTAGCTATTCCGTTGTAGCTTTTGATGTAAAGAATATTTTGCACATGTAATTGAAGCATCATTAGGTACCACCCTGCCAATCCAGTTGCTTAGAGATCAGATATTACTTACTTTCTTAGCCTGGGTGACAGTTCTGGGAAAACCATCCAAAAGAAATCCATTTCTACATTCTGGTTTACTTAAATTATCATCAATCAATTCCACGACAAGTTCGTCACTCACAAGCTGTCCACTCTCTATAACCCCCTTCACTTTCTTGCCAAGATCAGAGCCAGACGCAACCACAGCTCGTAACATGTCGCCTAGAAATGCGTTTTACAATCAACAGGCATCAGATGTAATAAAGTAGGAAAGCATGCAGTATTGCGACTTTTTAGCTTATTAATAATTAAACTATTAATTAACCTCAGTTTTTGGCATAAGAGGGTTGAAAATAGCTTCTAAGTTTGCTCAAGATCAACTGGAACTGATTTTGTGCAGAGACATTGTGACATAATCCTTAGGTATGCCTGAAAGTCATATTTACAATAGGTGAACCCTGTCATGCATCATTTGACACAGAAACAATAAATTCCATTGACGCGTTATCAATTTATCTGAACAATGTTTTGGCTCAAACAAAATCTGTTTTAAAATATAGAAAGTGAAAGACTGTTAAAGCAATCCAATAAATAAATAACATTGCATTAACCTTAGAAAGAAACATCTGCACAAAAATATTGAACAAATGTACATAAGTTTCGTAGAAAAACCCAGTATCAAAACGTAAATATTACGCTAAATATTTTACGAACCCGTAGACAAATGACAGACACAATATTTCTCCGCCAATTTTGGAGCCTAGGAAGAGAAAAAACATATCAAAATATTTGCCATTTAAATACAAAATTACAACATTTAAACTTCCAAAAAGTATCAAATTAAGAGTTCGAAATTTAGCGCAAAATTCCAAGCACCTGTGTGCCTTTTCCGCAAGCTGGTGGACCCAGAAATATCGCTTTTATTCCACTTTCTTCCGCCATCGTGAGCAGATGTTAATGCGAACTTTGCGCAGAAAAGACCTCGAAAGTTTTGCAAGTTATTGAAAGCAGATATTTGCTGAGAATCTGCAAATATCCCTTCGCAGTGTTGACATACAACTACACGATCGGAACACACTCGCGCTGTCATCGGGACGCGTTTGGAAGAAATTTAAATGTTCTTTTTATACACGTGTAATCATATTCGCATGAAATTGCTGATTCAAAGCCATTTTTAACGATTTTTTTTAAATTTCCACTGTATAAATGGCTAAATTATGTTAAAGGAGAATATAGCCACAATTTGCGATCTGTACGACGGTATAAATTTTGATTATAAACAGGCCATGATTGCCGATCTTGGTAATTTGAGATATTCAATAGAACATATTTTAGTAATTACGCTGCTCAAAGTTCAATGAGAGGACAGATTGAGAGTTGCATAATTCGTATTCAAAACTTGATATTTTGCTGGCAATCGCTAGCGGAAAATGGTTTCCATTAGTAAATCACGGTCTTGAAATGATATGACCTGATCTAATTTATCATTCTTTTAAAAACAAAAACTGTTTTAGACGGTGTTTCTGGGATTCTATTGCATACCTGGGTACCTTTACCAGCGCCTGGCGGACCCATAAGAATACCCCGAGTTCCAGCATCGCACGATGTAGAAGACAAACCACTTTTCCTAATCAAATCTTCAACGATCGGCGCCGTATGTTTCCCTCTACCAGGATCAAATTTAACATAAAGTTTTCCCAACCAGCCATTTAACACCCTGATTGTGTCCGCCATGTTTGAAGAGACCTGCACATGTCAGCGGAGTACTTTTCCGGGGTACTTTATGTGTAAATACAACGTAATACCCTATTATCGCATACTTTATTATAGCGCACATCTTAGGCCACCTTAGACCTCCTTATGTATCACCCTAGTGACCCTACACCTCCTTAGTTCTCCTTATATCCACTAAGTCTCCTTATCCCTCTTTACACCTCCAAAGTCTTCCGCTCCCTGAGGACATATCCTTAGACCTCCGTAATCCTTACACTTCCCCCTGATGGAGTCCGACTGGACTATGAACTGACCATGTAGACCATGCACTTTAAACACGTTGTCACGGCCAACCTGGTTATTTTGTAAGATGGAGTACAAGTATGTGGCCTGTATAATAGAGCATGTGATACACAGGGGGTCACATGAAGTAGCTACTCGATGACGCCTCATGGAAAGCGAGGACTTTGTCCAAAGTCCCAACCATACCATATGACTGATATGAAGTACATAAAGTCCATTTCAAAAGGGTAAAACATTGTCAAGATCAACTGAACTACAAAAAATTGCTTGTAGCCGTGTTTTCTGGAGGTGGACAAACCAGGAAACATTGTTTCCTAGCTATATTTTTTGAAGATAGTCAAACCAGAAAACATTGTTTCCTTTCCATTTCCCCATGTCGTACATTTTTAAATTTCAACTAAAGAATAATAAATGTTTCAGCAGGTGAAATGTGGTAATTGTTCAATAAATCAATTCTGACATCAAGAATACTTTTTATCCTTCATCTAACCCTTCAAAGAAGATAGGGAAACAAACTGAGACAGAAGTCGAATGAAATATTTACTGAACGCAGCTGAAACATTAAAATTTAATTCATGAAAATTATTGCTCCAAGTTGAGTTTACATACAGTGATTGAAATCAGAATATCTCAATATTTCTTCCTGTCAATGTGAAACTACGATTGAGCCAGACGTGCGCAGAGAACGGAAAGAATTTGGTACAGTGTTCAAATTCGGTTTCTTAACGTGAACACGTAAAACCGGTCAAATTTCCATCCATTTTTACCGACGGTGTGAACACCTGAACTGGACGGATTCAAGCACGAATCCAAATTCGTCCAGCCCTGAACCGTTAACATCACCTGAGACACAATTGTAATATATTTTCGTGTTGTCTGACAGTAGCAAAACGTGAAGCAATTAATTTCTAGCTTAGCTGTGTTTCGCAAATGAAGACAAACAGAAAATATTTTTCTCAGCTCAGCTTGTGGTAAACTTTATTCAATTTACTGTCTGAAAATAATATTCCCTATTTGTAAACATCTTCAGATAGTACTCAAAATATTTAGTTTACTAAAAATAACGTTTTCAAACCGTTTTGGTCTGGAAACTGCAGCCTGGCAACGCATTAATACATTCTAAATATTTAACCACATATTTCGTGTGAGAGTTGACGAAAACACAAACGGATTTCGCAAGGGGAACTTCACAAATTCCATCTTATTCAAAAAGGATGATGAACGTTATTCATGCATTATTAAAGAACCTCTTAAACTAGAATCACTTAATGAGATATCTAGACAAATAACACTGGGTCGCAAATGAAATTCATAATTTATTAACCAATATTTCTTCCGCAAGAGCATCTAGTCTCGCCGCACTTGGGAAGAAGACTTTGATAAAACTACATACAGAAATCGGGAGCTTAGTGCATTCTTTGAAAGCTATATAAGTTTATCGCACATCATTAGTTATCTTTTTTGAGTAAATCCTGTAAGAAATTGGATTCCTCGCAGATGCCTATAGCTTAGCGCTGGTAAGACAATTCACATTACACAAATAAAGACGATTAACAGGACAAGGGTAGAGCGAGCGCGCCGCCGGTGAGGAGACGAATTGTTTGTAAATATAAAGATTGTAACGAAGCATGGATGCTTCAGAGCATAGTCCACAATCGAAGCGTCATTCATACCCGGTGATCCTGACTTACACAGAGACCCTGAGCGTCTTGAGCGAGAACCAACGGGAGTACAACCGAAAAGAGTCGATAAAGAGAAACAAAACGCCAGTGTTGAATCAAAATGGAAGCGATGAAGAAAGAAGAGAGAAACTCCAGCAAGCTCTTGACTGGCTGACTCAGGAATTAGTAAGTGTAAAGTATTTCATTTTTATTCAAATTTCAAGTTTCACTAATGGGTTTTGCCTCGAGCATCGTAACTCAGAAATCAGAAGGTTGTGAAACTGCAAGGAATTGTCTTCCTCGATATATTTAGTAAATAAACCTTTGGTTGGAGGTTTGAAATGTTGTTAGAGACAGAATAGCCCAGTAAAATAGATATAGAAATTGTTTATGAAGTGCAGAAATGTACAGGATAAAAAGGGAAAATCCACTTTAATTCCGTGAACAAGTGAATTACGACCCGTACGTGTCTATTTGTATTGCATAAGGATGTGAAACAGCGCAGTCAGATGTCACGTCAAAGATGTGTCCAATTTACCTGAAACAAAGCAATGAGCCTTAGCGCAGCAACTCATTTACTTATGAGTGAAAACAGCTAGAGCTTTGAACAGCTTCGTTCTGACTAAAACTAAATTTGGCAATGATATCACTTCAAAACAAAGCAATTATATAAAGACCGCAAGCTGTTTGAGATAAAGATATCGTAATGAAAAACATTAAACCTGTTATTCAAAGAAAATACTTTACGACGTAACTGACTTCTTTATTACGCGAATTCAAACGTATATATGCAAGCAGCCACGGCAAAAAAACTTGACCGAACAATTGCAAGGACAAAGCAACCGAATCGTTTCAAGTTAAGTGGACTTTTATTGCAGGTGTCGAGGAAAACATATCAAACAGAAAGTAAACATGCTCTTGCTGTGACGAGTGGCAAAATACGTCATTGTCTTTAAATTGACAAGCCAAACTATAGATAAATTTCACAAATTGCATGAATCGTGCAGTTTTATAGGAAAACGTCAGCAAATATATAGTAGTATGCTGCATGAGAATAAATGTTTAATGTCCATAGAATTACAAACGAATTATTATATTTTCTTTGACCTTTGTGGTTTCAATGTGGGATGGGAATGCCTAAATTTGCAAAGAGCTTTCATTAACAGCTGAAGATCGTTTGCAAACAACCTTGCACGTTGTTATAAGCAACAATACAACCATAGTTTGGACTTAAATAACATGAAAAGACTGCAACAGAGTGGCGTGATAAATATAGACATAGAATAAATAAGATCATAGATAATAGAAGGTAAACATTGTACTCTAGCAGGTGCTCAAAAGATATGTAAACTGCTTAAATGATTGTTTGGAATAATTGAATTAAGATATGCAGTACAGGGTGTCCCAAACAAGCAATACTACCTACACTAGACCACCACGTTTAAGATATCTTTCTCAGGTAGTTCAGACACAAACCACGACAGCTTATTGTAGAATACTACCTACACTAGACCACCACGTTTAAGATATCTTTCTCAGGTAGTTCAGACACAAACCACGACAGCTTATTGTAGAATACTACCTACACTGGACCACCACGTTTGAGATACCTTTCTCAGGTAGTTCAGACACATCCACAGTTGAACCCAGCGTCCATATTTATAGAAGCTAGTCAAGATCCTAAAATCGATTTTTCACCTTGTAGAAAGACATGTACCACCAAGACAAATTTCTGCTTCGTCAGTTTAATCATTTAAACAGAAGCATTCAGGAATTAAAAGACAAACGGGAGATTAAAGAGGAACCTGAAGTATGAATCATTTTTTATATATAACAAACTTTATATTCATCATCATTTTCATAAGAAAGACTATACCTATTACCTACTGTCAATATTTGCATTGAAGCACGACAAACTATATATACGATCTTGTTGTTGTTTTTATAGACAAAGCCAACTCAAACAAATCGTGAGAAACAAGAAGCACGGCAGAATCCCAAAGCAAAGCTCCAGGTTCCTACCATCGAAGAAGTGAAACCTGCAGAACAAAAGAACACAAGTGGGCCAGTTGTTCGTGGAGAATTCAAACTGGAAGACCTTAAACAAGCTCAAATACGAGAAGCCCAAAAGCGACAGGCGGAATCAAAACTACAAGAGGAATTGAGTAAACAAAAACACGAACTAAAAGTACCGAAGAAGAACAAAAAGAACCACGAATCCAGCAAACAAAAGACACAGGACAATAAGGTGAAACAACAGGAAGAATCGAAACTAGAGAAGAGGTCGCTAAACAGCGAGTATGATTCGGATTATGGTTCAGATCAAAGCGTAGATAAATACGAAGTGGATTGTCTGCAACCGCCGAAAAATATTGCTATTAGCAAGAGTCCCAAGGCTTCGCCAAAACCACAGCGTAATAAACGCTGGTCGTGGTGGAAATAGAGGATAATAGAGGATAATATACTGCTTGCACAGAGATAACTAATGATATAGAGTTGTATCTATGGTTAATGATGGATATACAATTAAAAAAGTGATAAATATATTAGTTTTTAGATAATAAAATTAGAATATAAATAGTTTCGTATGAATTTACGTTTTGGGTCTTTGTACAATTAATAGAAAAAACGGACCGTTTTTCGGTAACTTAAGTTCCCTAACTAACTAATTTTACATTTTATAAACAATGAAATTTCTTTGTGTTTTTTTCAAGTTAAAAAGGCATTTCTTCAGCGTTTATGACTCGCGAACTTTGCAGTAGTTTTGGCAACGATGAATGCCTAAATTTGATACGTTTCATCTGTTTCCGATAACAGGCAATGTAACTTACCAGAACGTGAACCGAATTAACACAAAATTTCATATTTTCACTTCACAAGATCATGAACGAAAGAATGACGCAATATCCGGTATTCCAGCAATCCTTTTTCGATTGGTTCTCAGTCTTTCACGTAGCTCGGCCGTGACACGGCGATGACAAGGAACACAGAGTGTCCTGTAGTTCTCCAGATCACACTCACCACCCCCTTCTACCACCGCTATCACGTGATCTGCCTCCCAAAACTAAAGTCAAAATGAAGTTTAGTTTAGATCTCTTCCTGCATCGGCGGAAACACTGGCTGGATAACAGTTGACCCTTCGAGATAAATATATCTTGCCTTGCAAAAAACAAAAATAATTTACCATTCCTTCCTTGGGATCAACGATCATCTTGTTCAACATCGCAACAGGCAGCGTAAGAAATGATGTCTTTTCCAAACACGTTCGGCGTTCCGCCTTAGGTAGCAGACTCATCGTTCTGTACAGTTCGTGAGCATTACAACCACATTGTTGGCAAACTCCTTTCTCGTCTTGGAAAAGCTTTTCGCGAACTCGCGAGCCACTAACACGACACTAGAGGGAAGAGGATAAGGCTTGCTTATTTCCTGTGATGTGAATAATTTAGGTTTTCCTCCTGTAGCAACACTTGATCAATAAGGATTTAGAACCGACAGTCTTATTAAAGATAAAGATAGTTTCCTAACCTGATACTGGTCTTTGCACTTCTGTGAGCAGAAGCGTTCGTCCCACAAACTGCTGCTGCACTTCGTGTTCACGACATCTTTGCAAAACAAACATAACGGTTGACCGTTCTCGTCAACAGCTTGCATCCAACGTGTTTCCTTACTAACGGCGGCTGAATCCTTGTCCAGCACTGTTCCTCCTGTAGACAGATCATTTTGTAAACGTCTCGTGATCCATGAAGATATTTTACCTGAGTTTTATAGAACATTTTCTAACCTTCAGTTCTTTCATTTATTGTTTTCCCGCCTTGAATACTTCCCTTACGTTTCACACAATGTCGAACACTGCCGTTCTTCTCAACCGCCGCTTCCATCACTTCAGCTTGCAATTTCTCCTAAATCACCAAATTTAACAAGGTTTAAAACGCAAAAAGCACCTGCACTGTACCACCACGTTTGAGATATATTAGGCAGTTCAGTTTAAGTAATATACAAGAACAACAACAACAAAAATTACCTTGGATGGAAAGCGACTTGTACAAACTCTCTCTTCACGGCCCTTCGAGCAAACAGAAAATCATCAGATTTCAAAATTTCCATGAAACTATGGCTCCATATCTTATTTAACCAAGGCTGCACTACCAAGACAGTTCATGCATCTTATATATATAAATTAATTTCATAATATATACCCATTTAATTGCCTGTAAAGCTTCGTGAGGGTCCTCAAATATGATTCCAGCTTTTCGGATTTTTCTTCGTTCATTTTGGGAAAGGCTTTTCCATTTTCTCACAAACCTCGTTATTTGCCTTCTGTTCGATGGCTCAGATAAAATGGTGGAAGTATGTTTAGGCTCTAGGCTCTCCATGTCAGTAATATTCACACTGCAGTTCAATGGTTTGCCACTCTATTGTAGAATATAAACGACAAAAGTTTAGATTCTATAAATAAAGTTAGTTTAGTTCAGGTTTCCTCCTGTAGTAACACTGGATCAATAAGAGATGATCCTTACTGGACCTCTAGGAAGAACAGTTTAGAACTGATAAAGCTATCCAGTATAAATAAAGTTAAGTGTTTAGGTTTCCTCCTGTAGTAACACTGGATCAATAAGAGATGATCCTTACTGGACCTCTAGGAAGAACAGTTTAGAACTGAGAGAGTTATCCAGTAAAAAAAGGAAAAAATCATACCTCATCATACAAGTACACTCGATCCGTATAGTTGCTCAGACGAAACATCAAGTTTTCTATCACCTCCAGCTTCCCTATATGTCCCCCAGTTTCCTCATCTGGTGTGTCAGAGTCCCTCTCATCCTCGATCAGAAGATGACGTAATTCTTTGTACTGCTCTACAAGTGGCTTGCGATCTGTCTTATTGCCATGGCAACACTTGGTACATTTAACGTCATCTCTGAAATAGAATTCCTTGCAATCCTGACACTGCCAACAACCCTCGTCAAGACCCGTCATCGAGTACTCAAGATTCTCACTTTCTTTTCTGAGCCCGCATGCTTCACACTTGCCTGTGCCATCGCCGAAGTTATAATTCTTACATGACGTACACTCCCACCAGTCATCGTCCGCAATATCCTCAAATTCCGTCGCTGTATCTGTCTCGCCAGGTGACGTCATAATCTTGTCTTCGAAAGATGACATCACTTTATCTGGGGAAGATGATGTCATAATCTCGTCCGAGGACTCCTCGGTTGGTGACTCTGTCGCAAATAAATCCACGTCGCTAGAAAATACGTCGCATCTTTTACCCGGTTTAACCGGCTTGTCCGGTTCAACCAACTGGATTTCCGGTTCAACCAGTTGCATTTCAAGTTTGATTTGTCCTCCGAGTTGACGTTTATTAGGTATTTCATCTTCAACCAGTAAATCAGGTTTGACCGGCACTTCAGGTGGAATCGATAATTCAGGTTTGACCAGTAAGTCTGGTTTGGCAGGTAATTCATCTTTACTTTCTGGTGAATTGAGTCCTGCTAAAGTTTCCTTTTTTGAATGAAATATCGAGGAACATTGAGGATAATTAGTACCCTCAATCGTTACATCATCACATCCCTTATTGTCCTTTACGCTCCCTACTGCACACTTTCTATCCTTCCTCATTCCCGGCTTCCTAGAACCAGATTTCTGATCACCAACAGGCGAGAATTTCTCGAAAATTGATTTCTGCTTTCGTGCGACAAACCCATCCGTTGAACATTTGATGTTTGATGTTTTCCTTCGGCTTCTGTACCGTGGTGCATCGCACATCTCACACACTCGCAAGAAATCGTTGTTGTTGAACGTGCAGATGGAACAGGACCAGGTTTTGAAATCGTTTATATCTTCGGCGCTGGTTGGGGCCAAAGGCTCAGGGTTAGTTTGCTTCTTCTGGTATTCTGCCGGCTCGTCATTGGCGGCGATTGGGCTGGATTGTGGCGTGTCTTGAGCACAAATTGGTGTGGAAGGTGCTGAATGTATTTGTTGGACCAGAGAGAGGTCATTGTCACCAGCTTGCTCCTCAAGACTACGTCTAACAGACAAATCTTTATCGATATTTTCTTCATTGACTTCTACAATCACTTTCTTGTTGCTTTTGGCTAATTCAAAACTATTTTCCTCATCGCTTTCAGACGAGAGTCCATCACTTTTATCCTCGCAATCATTCTTCTCAAGTTCCAGCTTGGTCTTGTTCAAAACCCGTGTGTAGGTCGACAGCATATCAATCACCTGTGGACGAACTGGTTCGAAGGATTCGTTCACATCGACCTTGGTCAGCTCGCGGGCGACTTCCCAGGCCATTTCCTGACTTTCTGAAGCATCCACCGTCGCTAGTTTTTGTTTTGTTTTGCGTGTTTTTTTCTTTTCAAGTTTGTAAGTCTTCTTCGTTGTCGATTTCAGGCTGTTCTCATCGTCACTATCAACGATTAAAACTGTGTCTGTCTCAGGTTTTGCCTCGACTACTGTTTCATGAGGACTTTCATCCTCGTCAGATTTTTGTTCTTTCTATAACGACAAGAGTTCACATTTTAGAACTGTTAGCAATATCAAAATTAAGTTCATTTAGTCCAGCTTTCCTCCTGAAAAATCGCTCAATAACTAATAGCCTAGGACAGCTTTATATATTCATTTATCTTGGTTAAAACGGATTCATCGTAATCCATCGTAACCCATCGTAATGCACCGTGATCCATCGTACCTGTGAGGTACTGGGCTCGCTCGACTCTTTCCCATCGTCAGTTTTTCTACATTTCGAAGTCGGAGTATTAAAAAACTCCATCAGTGACCTCTGAAGCGAATCTTGCTTTCGTTTCTTTTGACTCTAAGTAGAAAAAGCCTCGCGAATTACGAGAAATGCCTGGATGAACTTGTCCAACGAAAAAAAGGAACAATTTGTTAAATGATTTGCTCCAGGTGCTCATAGAAACCTCTCAAAATATCCATTGAATCAACTTAACTCGATCGTTTCTAAAGGAGAAATCTACAAAGATTCTCAAAACTCACATGAGTAAATAAAAAATTGTCGTCAGGCACCGCATCGTCTTCGTCCTCCATCACAAACGCTGAAAAAGCTTCAAAAAGCTTCGACTGATTTTCGCTTCCTTCTTCAACATTCATTCCTTGTAACTTGCCATTCAATGCCGTTGTTGTGACGTAAACCTAGAACGAGATGCACAGAAAGAGCTTTCTATATAGCAATCCCAGTTTCCGCTTGGGATAACGCTGGATAAAGAGATACAATTTTGAGTAAAAACGAAACAAGTTTCGGTTCCTTCTTTTGTATACCTTGTTACAGATCATACGCCAAAGAACTTCGTCAATCGTTCCTTTGGCAATAAGATATTGAATGAGAACCGAGTTCTTTTGCCCGATACGATGAACCCTGTCTTCAGCTTGCTCCATAACGCCGGGTGTCCAATGAAGCTCAGCAAAGATTAGGTGATCGGCAGCGGTCAGAGTTATGCCCTAGCAGGTAAACAAAAGTCGGCGATGCAGGGGCGCTGTGCTTGATGCAAGCAGTTGTACTGCATTAAGATTAATAAGTACATTGAATGGCTGTACTTCACTAAGTTTTTATTGCAAATCCTACCGTCGAGGCGGCCAGAATGCTCAAAATAGCAACCCGTGTCGAAGGATCGGTTTGAAACTGATGGACAAGAGACTATGAAACGAGAATAATTGTAAATTCTTGTTATATCACTCATTTCTGATCCACATACGTCAGGAAATGCCATATAATCATTATAACTGGAAAGAGCAATGCCAAAATGAGTAAAATTGCAAAGTTTGGTCGAGGAATGTTGTGAAATTAAAGAATATATAGCCTTACAAAGATTCGTGTATGCTTTTTTGTATTGTGTGTGAAAATTATCCGCACAGCTCTCGGCCAAAATCTGTGCAAATTCCGCGCGTATCTGATACAAAAATTTAGTAGCTACAAACTCTGCGAGGCCAAGGCTGTATTTTCCACATTTTACAACATTTTGCAACCAAACATTGAAACTTTACTAATTGCATGATCCTCCTTCCCGAAATATATCTTGTTTTTGATTTTCTTGTTTCTATATCTATCGAATGCACAAACAGGGCGGTCACAAAGATTGATGAGAAAATACATAAAAGTTAGTTACGTACGCTCCTGAAGGAAGACGGAACGTCGCCAGCTATTCTGATATATTTCACTCGTTTCTTAACAACTTCCACTTCAATTGCCTTCATCACGTCAACGTGATGTGCAAAAACGAGAAATTTCTTTTCTGTGTTATCCAGGATCTCCGCGACGTATTGCCGAACTACCGAAATCTGAGACACGGGAGAAACAATAATAAATAAATTCGGAAAAGCTGACATGTTCAACTGTGTGGTTCCTTAATCTTATGCCGAAGAACAGTCATTTGAGGGGATGATTAGGACAGATAACAAACCTTAGATATTCCAGTTTGTTTATACAGCATAGTTGTCAGTCGGTTTATTTCAGAAAGGGGGTTTATTTGGCTGCGATTTTGAGAGGAATCTATGCCTTTGAGTTGCTTGCAAACACTTCTAAATTCATCAACAACTTTCTCCATTTCCTGTAAGTAATGTAGACAGCAACAGCTCTTGTAGAACAACAATTGTGGGTGAAAAATTAATCAAAGAGTCAAGTGGAATGCTGTTTCTATCCAAATATACCTTTTTGGAATTTGATTCAGCAAGGTCAAATGTGATCTTCTGACGCTGTTTTGCAGGCAATTCTGTCAACACCTGAAATTGTGTAAAAGCTGCTAATGTCTGCTAATGTTGACAGAATGATTGCTCCTACTGTCCTACTTACATCACACTTCAATCTTCTTATCATGACGTTTCTTTTCAACAATTGGTGCAGTTCTTCCAGATTAGATGCACCCCTGACAACATGATCATAGCACAGAGTCAGTAATAATCTACAAAAAACTGAGTGTGGCTCCTGGTTCCTGGTCTAGAAGTAGAACACAACCATTCTGCAGAAATATTTTGCAAATTACCCACCGAGTGTTCCAGCGTTGAGACCTCCAGGCGCCGAAGTGTTCAGTGTGGGCATCACAGTAACGATTTGCAAATTTACTAAATGATCCCAGTAGGTTGGGTTTCAGCACATCAATCTGGACATAAAGCTATAAAAATGACAGGGAATCACAATCAAACCGTAGTTTTATATAAATAGACAAAACACTTCTGGATGCTTCGACCTGAGGGCCTTCGTCAGGAGAGTTAGTATGATACTAACATTTGATATAGGTAATGCTGTTATACCACATTTGATGCTAAGTTGTTTGAAGACGCTGCCACGCTGCTCCTTGGTTATATTGTAGTTTTATATATTACAATTTGAGCAGTGACTGTATACTTTGTGGGTGTATTTGTGATATGTAACAGTACGGTATGGTATAGTCTGATTAGATATAGTGTACTTTAGCCTATTTCCAAAGTTCTGCTTCAATGTTTTAAACACTGGCCAGACAACGGTCTCGTTACCTCCTCGGGCCTGGCAAGAGCTGGTGTTCCAGTGAGAAGTATTGCTCGTTTAGTCTGTTTAACGACTGAAACAAGGGCCTGGGTTCGCACAGCTTTTCTGTTCTTCATGTAATGAGACTCGTCAATGATTGCAACTCCAAATTTTGTTTCTTTTAGACATTTGATCAGCGTGCGTGAGGCAGCGTGACTTAGTAAACCATAACCAACAATTGATATCTTACTTCTTTGTATATTGCTGAAATTGTTAATAATTGAAGTTTAATGGATGGCTAACTCTCTACGGCTTCCAGGACCTCAAGGAAGAACAGTTTAGAACTGATAGAGTTATCCAGTATAAATAAAGTTAGTTTAGTTTAGGTTTCCTCCTGTAGTAAAACTGGATCAACAAGAGATGATCCTTACTGGACTTCTAGGAAGAACAGTTTAGAACTGATAGAGCTATCCAATATAAATAAAGTTAGTTTAGTTTAGGTTTCCTCCTGTAGTAAAACTGGATCAACAAGAGATGATCCTTATTGGACTTCTAGGAAGAACAGTTTAGAACTGATAGAGTTATCCAGTATAAATAAAGTTAGTTTAGTTTAGGTTTCCTCCTGTAGTAAAACTGGATCAACAAGAGATGATCCTTACTGGATCTCTAGGAAGAACAGTTTAGAACTGATAGAGCTATCCGGTATAAATAAAGTTGGTTTAGTTTAGGTTTCTTATTCGGGCAGTATAACACTGATCAATAAAACTATAATTACCTAGCATCAATACAGGATTGAACAAGGTTGATATCATCTGGTTGAATGTCTGGCAGCCATTTCTCAATTTCTTCAATCCAGGGAAAACGCATTGAGGAAGGACATACGATGAGGAGAGGCCATTCATTCTTGTAATAATAGGCGACTGATAAAGCCTGCAATGTCTTTCCCAGACCCATCTAAAGTGGTTATAAGATCGATTTAGAGAGGTTTAATTGTACTGTAATTAAATAAAAAAATCCATATTACTTACCTCATCACCGATCAAACATCTGTTAAATAACACGTGGTTTGAAATGTGGAGATTGCACCGAAAGAGAAATTAGAGAATCATAGAAAAAATCAGATTAAAAATATCATTTGCTTGAATCATAGACCTGCATACAAAAGCTAGCAGCCTAACAGTATATCCTAAACAGTGACAATAAAAGGGATCATCGACGATCGCTAAAAACATCAAATGAAAACAAAATACTGGATGTAAACAATATCACGCAAGGATTTAAAGGTGATGCAAATTTGGCATCTACTTTTCGCGTCGATCTAGCGAGGCTGGCGACGATCGCATTCGATAGAAAGCAAGATATGAACATATTCTCTAACCTTCCGTTCTTAGATATTCCAAAAAGGACGCCTTCTACTTGGAAATCCAACAATGTCTTCGATAGCGCATCTGGCAGAAAGTTTAATCGTGGCGCCATTTTAGATTTAAATTGCGCGAACATGAAAGTAGTGTCCGGGCCCCGACCGCCGCGGCTCATTATTAAGGTGGCACCGTGTTTACCAGAAGCATTTTGCAAACAACAATCCAGTTAATCCTACGATTACGGATTCCCTACTATAGTTTTAACTAACCTTGTATATGAACTATCAACTATTGACAATTCTCAACCTCTTTTAACCTCTCCTTCCTCAAAACGGTCGCGGTGATCAGACTACAAACCCTTGCGAAACATCATTCCATTGTGATGTCATAAATGCGATCATTAGCATACTCGGCGCAAAGCAAGTGCCTTATCGACGTCCATGCCCAAGTACGCACATGTTTCAAGCGCTTGAGGTACTTTCTTCACGACTGGTTAACAATATCTTGAAAAATATATGTTGTGTTGTCAAGTCCATGTTACGAAACAACGGAAACCCGCCAACATGTGTTCATACGATCATCAATATTTCCGTTCTAACACTAACCTCTCCATAAAAAATTCCGAAGAAGGAAGTCGTGACTCAAGCTTAGCCACCTACTCTCACAACCTTACTTCTCAAAAACCCCGCACAGCGCACGCCTACATCTATCGATCATTGTGTTCCAACTGAATACCGGAACATCATAGCTTGTACAGTAATGGCCGTTCAATTTCATGAAGTTGAGGAAACGGTTTTCAGATTCTTTGTGGCTCATTCAAGCACTTCCAAACGATCAAATAACTATAGGTGGTATGCTTCTGCTGAAAACAACGAAAATACAACCAACGCCAGATCCTTTAATTCCCGCGTATTTTTCATTTTCCGGCGAATATGACCATGGTCGTATTTACCATTTTCCGGCGAATATGACCATGGTCGTATTTGCCATTTTCCGGCGAATATGACCATGGTCGTATTTGCCATTTTCCGGCGAATATGACCATGGTCGTATTTGCCATTTTCCGGCGAATATGACCATGGTCGTATTTGCCATTTTCCGGCGAATATGACCATGGTCGATTTTGCCATTTTCCGGCGAAGACGACCAGAGGTTGACACGTCTCACAGACGCTGAATTAAAACTATTCAGAATACATAATCATACATCACACGATTCTCACCCTGGCTGAAAATCAGGGACATGATTGTATGAAACTGTCTTCTGTTGTATACTCGTATTTCGCTAAGATTGCAGACGACCAGGAACCATTTAACAGGGATGTAGTTTCCGTAGGTTATGTCTCCCATAGACATGGGCGCGCAAGTACAGGAATTTTATTAAATACTTGAAAACGTTACGATTCTTCCAGGACGACTGGAACAAGATGCCTTTCGGCGACGCAAGAAGCACATCACGTTTTTCACCCTTTGCGCTAGGCTCTGGTCCGCGTCCGTTAATATAAACCTACCTCCCCCCGGATGCAACTGACCGAGAACGTTCAGCCCAAAAGACAAAAGATGACGTCGTCAAATATGGCGCTATAATATTTAGCCTAGCCATAAGCGACAGTTTTTTGTGTGTGGAATTTGTATTTCTGTAGTTTGCGTTTATGTGAAAATACATTTAAAACCATAAATAACAGGCATATTTTTAATCTTAGCGAAGTATTCTCGGTCGAATGGTGATATATAATAACCATTGCATTATAGGTTATTTTGTTCAAAAAATTTTTACCAAACATACTCATATGCAAGCCTTTAAAATTTCAAATGGTTATTTTTCGATAAAAGTATGTGACAGCGTAAGTCAGAATAAAGGCTAGGGAAAGTCTATTTCTTTAGGCCAGACGAAAGAAAGAATTCAGTTGCCTTTTTATATTCTTTATAGAGTAACTAGATAGAATAACTAACAAAATGAAACAAAGTGTCCATTGATGCTGAAAAAATCTGGCTGGTATTTCCATGTATTTTTAATATCAGAACATGAACACTTACACCTTTATCAAACTATTCTTTTTCAACAGTAATGCTCTCCTTGCTAAATTACGATTTTCTTTTACCTTTTATCGACAGCATTTTTAAATCTACCCAACAAGAACATTCCCTTAGGGAGCCCAAATGAAAGAAAACAACAGCATTAAAAAGTTTTTTTTAAAAAACTACAAAGCAAAGTCTTTGAAAGAATTGTTAACAAATATTCGCCTCAAGCTTTTTTAGAATTTGTCTTATTTTGTTTATTTTTAATACAACAAATACAGTCAACTGCAGAGTGATTATTTGAAAATCTTGAGCCAAGAGGAACCGGAGTACCGTTAAACCCTCTCATGCACAAAAACATTAAACACGATTCCCGTAGGGCACATCAATGCTGAAACAATGACATTACATTCATATACTATCGTTTTCAGAATTAACTTGGGCTGCTTGACATTTTAGTCCAGGAAAACTAGTTTGGATCGTGAATATAAGAAATTATGATGCCATACATAACAAGTACAAACCGTCTATTGTTTTCCTGCGGTCATAGGTTGACCACATAAATAAAGACAAAATTTGATCTGAGAAAACAGACTAAAAAGAATATTTATTTAATAAAGTTAAAATATCATCTCGTTGCATGTGCGCTGGTTCTAGAAGGAAGCCCCTTCACATGCAGTATAGGTGCAGGACCTAAGGATTTAACAAGCTCGCATGATTTGGTGGCTAAGTCGCAATGTCCCTATCTGGACAGAGATAAACGCAAATTACTCCAGTGTGTTTAAAGATTATCAAAGTACGCGCGCAATGCTATCGAAAATTTTGCGATGCTCGCCTATACGTATTCGGTAAATTTTTTACAAATGTTTAACGCGAAGAAACCTTGTTGATTACTATAAGTAAGATGTGCAGGACTATTTCTCTGGCAAGGACTACAGATAGCCAAGAAGATCACTTCTTTTTGGAATCACCAACATCACTTTAGCCGTTGGGATTGTCTCTTCGTTCTCATTGATACGCAACCATCTTGTCTTCTTAATTTTGAGAATTACCGAAATGATACGGATGAGGTGGTGATTAAGAGAACATCTTGAAGTCTTGAAGAACACTTATTCCACGTCTACAGTCACGTATCTGGCGAATGTGGTCGTTCTTTTATAAGCACCAGGATGAGGAAGTATTGCATTTCAATTTGGCTGTATCACGTCTTTCAAAATCAGTAAATCAGTAAAGCTCATCAACAACTCGTCAAAAATTATAGTCTAAAGCCGAAAGCTTTGCATGCTTTAATTGAAGAACACTGATTAAGTTTATCGCGACAAAGAACAGTGTTCCGGGAATTGAACCCAGTAACCGTGTGTACAAGTCAGCTTCCATTAGACCATTACGTTTTTTATTCTGAGTGCGTTTACGTCAGAGATTAAAGTCTACTGGGTTGCGAAAATATTCAAAACTTTTTATCGAGTGTAACGAGACTTACCAATTATGCGGGTATTAATTGTCAACAGAAATGTTTAGCTTTCATGCCATTTTACTCGTGAAAAGTTCAATTTTCGTATGGAAAACCAACCGTAAACACGGTTCCGAACACACGGACACTGTTTTTTTACGAGGGAAACCAGAGTGCCTGGAGAAAAACCCTCACCGAAAGCCGCGAAATCAAACACAAAGTACACAAGTTTGAGATTTTATTAAAACAAAGTCATGTATTACAACAAAGTGTGTGTGTGATAAAGATATTGAAATCAAGAGAGAGGAGACGGACAATTTTGGTCCTACTTTTATTAATACTTCACTAAACATGTATTACAAAGCGTGTGTGTTTTCTTTACATAGTACATCATTATTATACGAAGACATTAAACTATTATATCTAAAACCGGTTACAAAGTAGGTGCGTTTAAGATCATGTCATTTAAATCTATAGAACAGTGCAGGTTAAATGTTTGGCATATTTTAGTATAAAATTGTGCATGTCTTTTTACAGTGTGCTATTGTGTTTCTTAATGCTCAAGTCTTATCAGTAAAACTTGCATTCGTGTAAGTAAGTGTTTCTAAATTTATCTTGTATTTTTTTTGTTCTATTAGACTTAACCCACTAACTCTGGTACAGAGCTGAATAAAGCTTATGAGATCGATGATCTAATATTGTAATACATTAAAATGCCTAAGTTTCAGAGCACTTAGATTCAAGTTATACGTTCGTCCAAAAACTGAAATTATTCTGCTGACAAATCATAGGCAGTGTTCCTAATATTTTCGTTTTAAACTGTCAAACTGTGCATTTTCAAGGATCGAGTTAACTTGAAGATATTTCATGAGCCTTTATAGAAACAGCATGAAGGTATACACAATTGTCCTTGAAAACGTTATTGCACATTTTAGAGCTGAGGCATATAGCCAGAGCATGCTGCCCTAGTAGAAACAAGGTTTAGAAAAAATACAAGAAATAGACTTTATATTTTTGAGGCTGAGGCATATAGTCAAAGCAACAAAGTGTCGAAACCAAGTGCAGCATCGAATGTAAATATTTTCTTCTCAAAAAATTCAGTTAACATTCTTTAAACCAAGGGATATCCCCAAAGCAAGCTGCCCTTATAGAAACAGCACCAAGAGTACAATTTTTTCCAGAGAAACTGGACTAATACTTTCAAAACCAAGGCGTATAGCCAAAGCAAGCTGCTCTTATAGAAACAGCCCCAGGAGTACATTTTTTTCTTTGTAAAACTGGTTTAAAAACTTTTGGAGCTACGGCATATAGCCAAAGCAAGCTGCTCTTATAGAAACAGCAATGAAAATAACACTGCAACGTTATTAGATATCCCAACATACCTGCTAACACTTCGAACCACATAGCAAAGTCAAACAGTGCAAACAAAAAGTGGCGCCTTACTTTTCATAAGCACTGCTCGACGAAGCTAAATGATTGGAAATCTCACAGAGACCTTGGAAAAATAATAAAGTTACAATGCCACTGCCAATGTTCGTCTCGTAATTGATTTCTAACTATTGTAGAAATAAGGCATATATATCGTTATAAGATAACAGCATGCACCCCCCAACCATTCCTCCCCTTATTTTCTTCAAGTAAATTCAA